CCTATGGGTTTACAACCCTTAGGCAAATCCACTATTTCCCACGTATGATTAGACTGTATAGAGTCTAACTCACTTTTAACTGCTTCTCTCCATAGAGTAGCGTCTACTGAGCGCATAGCTTCCTGAATGGATTTTGGTTCTTCTTCTAGCACAAGTTGACATATAAACTGATCACAAAGTTCATTTAGATCTTTCAATTCCGTCATGTATGTTATGAAGTCTGAGCCAAACGTTTTCTCGATTCTAGGCCTTTTACTTCTTCTAGGCTCTTCTGAATTACATGAGAAATCAGGGAAAGAAAGATTTTGTTGAACTTTATTAGCATCTAGTTCAAAAGCACCCTTCAAGGGAAACACATGTTCAAAGAAAACTGCATCTCTGGATTCACATATTGTACGGTTTTCTAAACACATAAATCTATAAGCTGCACTATTTTCAGCATACCCAACAAATACGGCATTCAAGGTTTTAGGACCTAAGTTAGGCCTTTTAAAGGACGGTAGTCCCACCTTTGCCAAGCAGCCCCAAACCTTCAAGTATTTAAGATTAGGCGCATGCCCTTTCCATAGTTCATAAGGAGTTTTTTCGAACCCTTTGTGCAAGACCCTGTTTAGTATGTGGTTTGCTGTTAGAACAGCTTCCCCCCACAACGAGTCAGGAGCACCTGAACTGATCAGCATAGCATTGATCATCTCTTTAAGAGTTCTATTTTTCCGTTCAGCTATGCCGTTTTGTTGGGGTGTGTAGGGTGCTGTCACTTCGTGTATAATACCAGATGATTCACACAAGTCTTTCAGGAAATTTGATTCATATTCTCCTCCTCTATCGGATCTTATTCTTTTGATCCTTTTTTCCAACTGATTTTCTACTTCATTTTTAAAAACAACAAATTTTTGTTCGGCTTCACTTTTTTATTTTAGCAAGTATAATTTTGTATAACATGAATAATCATCAATGAACGTTATATAGTAACACTTACCACCTCGACTTTCAGTGGTCTTAAAATCTGCTAAATCAGTATGAATCAATTCTAGTAATGATGAAGTACGATTCTTTACAGTTGAAAAAGATGTTCTAGCAAATTTTGCCTCAGCGCATATTTCACATTGTTCACATGCATCATTAGACAAGTTTGGTAACATGTTCACATTCTTTAGTCTATTTAAGCATTTTGTACCAACATGTCCTAATCTAGCATGCCAAACATTAACTGATATAGAAATATAAGCAAAGGAAGCATTCTTATTATCACGAGCATTCAGAGAATAGCCAGATACATCAGAGTTATTGTTAACTATAGAGACATCTAGTACAAAAAGACCTCCACTGAACTATCCCTTCCCAATGAACTTATCACAACGAGTCATAACCAGACGGTCAGACTCAAAAACCATCTTAATTCCAGCCTTATTAAGAAGACCTCCGGAAATCAGATTTCTTCGAAGGGATGGGACATAAAGCACATTTTGCAACAGTAAATGTTTTCCAGAACAAAGCAGTAATTCTACTTTTCCTCTACCACTTACCTCGGAAACGCTGGAGTTTCCCATGAAGACTTGTTCTCCACCAGTGATAGGCTCAAAGGTTTTGAACGAAGCTTTGTTGTTGCAGAAATGTAGTGAGGCTCCAGTGTCCACAACCCATTCGTCTGGATTTTCCACAATGTTGGCTTCAGTTACTACTACAGCTACCAAATCAGCGTCTTCTGTGTTCTCCGCCAGATTAACTTGGTTCTTCGGCTTCTCGTTGTTTGGTTTCTGACTCGTAGACCCATAGCGTTTATAGCATTGGGCAGCACGGTGGCCTCGTTTTCCACACACATAGCATTCACCACTATTGTTCCATTTTTTCTGAATTTTTCCACCCTTGCCGCGAGTGGAGTTGTTATTCTTATAATTTTTCTTTTGGTTTCTAGAGTTGTCACCAGACTTTCCAAACCCAGAGTTAGTCTCAACAATATTAGCTTTAACATTGTCAGTAAAGATAACAGACCTTTGAACTAAGCGATTTTCTTCTTCGATATTCACGCTATTTATTAGATGTTGCAGTGTGTAGCTCTTGCGGTCATGTTTCATTTTGTTCTTGAAGTCCACCCACGAGTCGGGTAGTTTGTCTATCAAGGAGTCACATAGGACCACTTCATTGACTATTCCACCTTCTGCTTTCATGTCACCAACTAGATTCTCAAACTCGTGTACCTGTTCTATTACAGGTTTGGTTTCCACCATTTTAAAGTGTAACCAACGACCCACAGCATATTTGCGTCTCCCCACATCATCAGCCCCATATTTCTCAATCATTAAATCCCAAATAAATTTTGCAGATTTGTATTCAGAAAACATATCAAACAACGGGTCACTTACACGTTGAAGAATGGTTGTCCGGGCAGTTTTGTTATCCTTCTCATATTTGATGCGAACTGCTTCGGATACTGATGAAGTTTGATCTGATGATGACTTTGGATCCTTGGATGCATCAGTAGACTTTGGGTCTGTTGTATCATATGAAGCCGTGGTCTGCGCAGCAAGTTGAGTTGCAGCCACGTTAAATTTTGCAGGATCTTCAAAGAGGACATAGTCCACGTCTTTTGACTCCAGGAGCATAAGAATTTTCGCAGCCCACGTCTTGTAATTTAAACCACCAGTAAGTGGTTGAACTGGAGTAATATCAGACACAGTGTTTGGTGTTTCTGACATACTTGGTAGTAAATGTTTTTAATTGTTGGAAAAATAAAACCAGCACTGTGTATATGTGGGTTGGAACGAAAAGGGTGAGGATGAGTTCTGTATCGTGTGTTAAAACACTACCTTAAAAACATTTACGACCAGGGATTCAATCGCATGTTTTCGACAGGCAAAACAGAACAAAACTCCCAGGCAATTATAAATAAAGGTGTCAGTGTTGTATTCGAACAAGGAAAGAAAACCTGCGACTGGCAGTGAGAATTTCAAACTGGGAAATAAACCTGCGTAATGGCAGTGTGTTGCTTCTGTTCGAATGGTGTGTTAACAACATAAAGACAGCCCCTTTTTATACTAAAATGTTTGTAACAACCCACCTCTCACCACCCATTATTGTAGGACTACATTTAAGCAAGGACCATCCCTGTACACTCATTCAAGGAGTTGTGCGGACATGGTCACAAAGTGATCCACAAAATTAGGGTGATTAAAAAGGTTTTGGAAGACAAGCCTTTCCCTTTGAATGCTCCCAACACTCCCTTCTCTTCTTCAGAGAAATCGCTGTTGTGAAACGAGTAAAAAGAATCCACCAGGTATATATATACACAGTTGGTTCATGTAGATTATAGTTTGTTCCAGCAATTGACCACTCCAGCCCCTTCAAATGTGTCCAAATTATTAAAATATACTCCGTAATAAATTCAATCCGTCACCTGTTAGTCTGTTACATGTAACATTATTTACTTAAAACTTAAGAAATTACATTTAAAGATAAAAAATAAAAGATTTGAAAATTAAAAATGAGACTATCCCATAAAGGAAATTCTTTGATTACATGTATTATTATACCTCTTTTAATTTCTCACAAGTGAATGAAGTGGTAGCTACAACTATGTGCATTTCATATGCTAAAATTTCCTATCATTTGCCAACAAAGGATGAGTGTTTTATGTTCTGGACACTGTGAATGATTTTGTGGACCTTTGCAACTTCATCAGATGCCTCTTGTGATTGATAGAGTATACTGCAATTAGTCATTCAACTGCACTACGTTTAATTCTTGCTCATATGTGTAGACATTGGATATTCTGCCATGCATTCTGGTTTTTTGTAACAATATACAATGTTTAGACTTGGTTCGTGGAATTGTTTTTTGTAGTATTATGACTTGGATGATATATGATTCGATTAGAATTGGTCATGGAAGTATTTAGACTTGTTATTTTGAACCTTAGCTTGTGCAAAATTATGTAACTACACTTGGCCATGGTGAATGGATAAATTGATATTTTATATGATTAAAATTTAAGCAGGTTAAAAATCGTTGAGACAACGATTAAAACCCGTTGTCTATTTTACAATAGAACACAGTTTATGGGCGTGACTTTTAACAACAGCGATTTCAACAACACACAATAGATAATAGTTTAAACTGTTGTCTTTTAAAGAAAAGACAACAGTTAAAAACCATTGTCTATGTGCATCACTTTTAACAACACCGGTTTCAACAACATTGAATAGACAACGGGTCAAAAAATGTTGTCTTTGAAAGAAACAACAACAGTTTAAAACCGTTGTCTATGTACATGACTTTTAACAACACCGGTTTCAACAACACTCAATAGACAACGGTTCCTAAACCGTTGTCTTTTCTAGAAAAGACAACGGTTAAAAACCGTTGTTTATGTTCGTGACTTTTAACAACACCGGTTTCAACAACACTTAATAGACAACGATTAAAAAACCATTGTCGTTTATAGAAAAGACAACGGTTAAAAACCGTTGTCTATGTGCGTGACTTTTAACAACACCGGTTTCAACAACACTTAATAGACAACAGTTAAAAAACCGTTGTCGTTTATAGAAAAGACAACGGTTTAAAACCATTGCCTATGTGCGTGATTTACAACAACACCAATTTCAACCACACTTAATAGACAACGGTTAAAAAACCGTTGTTGTTTCTAGAAAAGACAACGGTTAAAAACTGTTGTCTATGCGCGGGACTTACAACAACACCGGCTTCAACAACAGAAATTTTACCTCTACGACAACGGTTATTAACCGTTGTCTATGTGCATTTTTCTTGTAGTGTCTTTTTAAGAAATTAAAGGATTAAAGGATGGGATGGGAGCTTCAAATCATTCATAAACAAGCTAGGATGGCATGCATGGTCTTTTAAGAAAATTAAATTCAAGAAATTTGTAGCCAAGTAGCTAGGAATACAAGGAATTGATCAAATTTAAAAAAAAATTGACCAAATTAAGTCATCTTAAGATTGAAATATAGAAAACAATATATAATGATGATTATATATATTCAAGAATTAGATGATGAATCATTCTCATTCTGCTGCTCTCTTATTCGCGCGGTAAACGGATTTGGCCGATTACTCGAGTGTCTTCTTGGAACTATCGTGCCTCCTCTGATAGATATAGACAACAAATTAAATGCATAAATACGAGTATACAATATATATTATATTAAAGAAGCTTGGCATATATATATGCTGAAGATGTAAAGTAGGAAACCTAATTGTTCACCTTAAGAGGCTAGGAAGGCTCCCATATCGACGAACAGGGGGAGGAGGGGCTGTATAATCAGGCTGGAAAGGCTACAGTACAGTGAAAGAAAATCAAGTAAAAATTAAAATAAATAAAAGAATGAGAAAGATATAAGATGATATTGTTTGGGCTTCATGTAATTAATAGAATGCGTTAACAATAATCTCCATTAGATTTACAATGATACATAAATTCAGATTTAAAGTACCTCCTATATATAGTTAGGTTCTATTAAGATATCTCATGATCTAACACAAAAAAAAAAAAAAAAAAAAAAAAAAAAAAAAAAAAAAAAAAGAAGCCAAAGCTTAATTACCTGGTTGCAAATCTCACACACAGTGTCACCTTTTTTATTGCACCAGCTTTGGACACATCCCCTATGTGCATACTGAAACCGTTCAAAACAAATTAATACCATTAAGCTCCAAATAAATTTGATTTGCTCTTATGTAAATAAAATTAAAAACAAAAGATTATATTATATATGATAAGTTGGGCGGGAGAATTAAAATAAGCTAACTAGCTTAGCCGTTAGCGCCACGTATAAATCTACCAACCTTTAAGGTACCCCGGCAAGAGCAAGGAACCTCCATATTTGAATCCAAATCTTCACCACGGCATATCCTGCACTCTACTCTCATCGTTGAAGAAGACATATCGATCTGCAAGTCTTCCTTAGCTTGTCAAAGAATAATCTGATCAATCTTTAGAATCACTCATGCCAAAAGCTATAGTCAATCACACACATTTTTGAGAACCAGAGTTTTGGACTTGGTCCTTTACCGACCTCCGCCCAACAATCCTCCTAGCCACATGGTGTCGTTGGACTTGACCCTTATAAGCCTCCGCCCAACAAAGTCTGATCCATAACAAACAAAAATTCAACAAAGAATGGGATGTATGTATGTATGTATTAGAATATATATATATATATATATATATATATATATATATATATATATATATATATACACACACACAGAATTGAAGAAAATGAAGCAAAGACTTACAACAACTCCGTTCTCTTCTTGAGAGAAATGGCTAGCTGCTTTTGGGATCGAATGAAGCAAAAGGATGAAAATCACTTCTATTTATATTGATGTTATACGAGCAGATTTCATGTATAAATACAGATTATATATATATTATTGTTGGTTACGGTCCTGTACGTTACAGTTTATATGTTAAGCAATTGACCACCCCTTCCCCTTCAAATGTGTGTAGAAAATGATTAAATTACAATAACTTAATATTCCATCTGTTACATTTTATCAGGGATATTTATTATTTACTAGTCAAATTAACTATTTCGTTTTTACTTATTTTGTATATTTTGCTTAATTTTTGTATATTTCTGTTACAATGATATCACATTTGCTTAATTACTTAAAAATTAAGAAATTACAGTTCAAGATAAGAAATAATTTAACGATTAAAAATGTGAATATCTCATAAAGGAAATTTCTTTAATTACATTTATTATACTCTTTTATTTACTCACAAGTGACAGGTATAACTATGTTTATTTATATATCACTGTATTTTACTCGATTAGGAAATTATGATTATGATATTTAATAATACCATAAAAACTGTATTATGTGAGGCTTCGAAAATCGTAAAATACCCTAAAAACTTTATAAAAGATTTCAGGACCCGCAAGACCAATTGTAGCCTCATATACATACACAAGCCTAGGCTTAGGCCTTAAGTTTTCATAGTAGACTCAGACCTAATTTTATAAAGTCCGGCTCGGCTTGGCCAATTTTCATCAATTATTGGCTCAGATTTTAGTTTGATGATACCAATTAAACATATTTTAAAAGTTAGGTCCCAAAATTCTTTTATTTTTCTAGACTAATGCATTTTTGACTTGTAAATCTGAAAGGTTCACTTAGGCTCTGTTTGGTAGAGCTTATTTAGGATCTTATAGTGTTGAGATATTTGATGATATTAATCATCTATATTAATAATAATGTATCTCTTTGTTTTCCCATGTGTCTCTTGGGTTTTCCCATGTTGGGTTTCCCATGTGTATCTTGGGTTTCCCATGTTGGGTTTCCCATGTGTCTCTTGGGTTTTCTATGTGTTTCTTTGTTTTCTTTGTATTCACTCTTCATCATCTTGTTGGCACTATAAATAGAGTGCTTGTATTGAGGTTTAGACACAAGAGATAATACATAATCAATTCTCCTTTTTATTCTTTGTTTGTATTCTACATGGTATCAGTCGCTAAGGTTTATACCTGCGTATAAACTCATCCATGGCCGACGACAACCTACCGCTGGCGCAGCCTCCCCAACCTCAACCCAAAATTGAACCAAACTCTTCCTTTTACCTTGTTCCTCAAGATCAACCGGGTGATTTCATAACCCCGACACGTTTGACCGGAAACAATTATGATGATTGGGCTGCTGACATACAGACGGCGTTGGAGGCACGACGAAAATTTGATTTCCTTAATGGAACGATCACTGGACCGACTCCACCTTGTTCTCAGTCGGATTGGACCACAATCAACGCTATGCTTATTTCTTGGCTAATGAACACCATTAGTCCTGAGGTAAAACGCTCTCTTGCTAAATACAGGGATGCCAAAAAGTTATGGGATACTCTCGAGAAAAGATTTGCAGTGACTAATGGGGCACGCATTCAACAATTAAAATCATCTATTGTTAAATGTGAGCAGTCTAAGAATATGTTTGTGTCCACATATTTTGGCCAGCTGTCAGCACTATGGGAAGAATTACATACCCATGAGCCTATTATTAAATGTTCCTGTTGTGTTTCTTGTACCGCCGGCAGTGAACATGAGGCACGACGAGAAAATAGCAAGCTACATCAATTTTTAATGGGTCTTTGTTCAGAGTATTATGCACAAATTCGCACTAATATTCTGTCCATAGATCCATTACCATCTCTTGACCGTGCTTATCAAATGGTCCTCCAGGAAGAGACAATTCGCTCAACTACAGTCTCCGAAGACAAGTCACCAGAAGTTATGAGTTTTGCTGTCAATACCGGTTCTGGCAAGGGTCGTGGTCGCTTTGATAAACCAGACAAATCTCATCTCTCTTGTACTCACTGCAAGAAATCTGGCCATGACGTATCTCAATGCTTCGAACTACATGGCTATCCAGATTGGTATGAGAATCGTGGCAATAACAACGCGCGTGGAGGACGCAGTGGACGGGGTAGAGGTGTTCCCCGTGCCAATGCCACTTTAACCAAAAAGCCCACTGACAGCTGTGGAGTTCCCTCATCTCATTTATTCTCACCGGACCAATGGAAGGCATTAACAGGGCTAATTAGTGGTACAAAGGTTTCTGATGATCAATTGACTGGTAAGTTTGATGCACGATTGTGGATAATTGACACAGGGGCCTCTCGTCACGTTACTGGTGATTCCACTCGGATGACTTATGCAAAAGATATATCTCATTGCCCTGTTGGTTTACCTAACGGCAAAACAGTGGTTGCAACTCAAGAAGGCTCGGTTCGATTAACAGACAAAATTATTCTTCATCATGTTCTTTATGTTATGTCTTTAAGTTGCAATCTTATTTCTGTTTCACAGTTAAATGATGATATGCAGAGCAGTGTTCTCTTTAAATCTCATATGTGTGCTATACAAGATCAATCGAGGGAGCTAATTGGAACGGGTGTTAGACGAGATGGACTTTACTACTTCAAGGGAACCGAATCAGTGCAACATCTTACAGTTAATGGTGTGACAACTTCAATTAATCTTTGGCATCAACGAATGGGTCATCCATCTGAAAAAGTGGTAAAGCTACTTCCCTCTGTTGGAATTGTGGGAAGTTTTAATAAAGCTTGTGAGGTTTGCTTTCGTGCTAAGCAACCAAGAGAAAATTTTCCTTTGAGTAATAGCAGAGCATCTCGAATATTTGAGAAAATACATTGTGATTTGTGGGGTCCTTACAAACACCAATCCGTGCGCGTTATTTCTTGACTATAATTGATGATTTTTCGCGAGCAGTTTGGATTTATTTGATGGTTGATAAAACTAAGGTTCTCAAAATGTTTTTTTCTTTTGTCGCTATGATTGATAGACAATTCTCTCAATCAATCAAAGTCGTTCAGAGTGACAACGGTACTGAATTCCATTGCTTGCGTGAATTTTTTTCTGCCACTGGAATTTTATTTCAAACTTCTTGTGTGGGAACTCATCAACAAAATGGTAGGGTTGAGCGAAAACATAAACATATTCTCAATGTAGCTATTCTCAATGTAGCGAGAGCTTTGCAATTTCAAGCTGGTTTGCCAATTTATTTTTGGGGAGAATGTGTTCTTGCGGCCGCACATCTGATCAATCGGACACCAACACCGTTGCTTGATAACAAAAGTTCCTATGAACTTCTCTTTGGTAGTCCTCCATCTTACAACACAATTCGTGTTTTTGGGTGTCTGTGCTTTGCTCACAATCAAAAAGAAAAAGGCGATAAATTTGCTAGTAAGAGTCGAAAGTTCATCTTTATGGGATATCCATTTGGGAAAAAGGGTTGGAAGCTGTATGATCTTGAAACCAAAGAATTTTTTGTTTCCCGTGATGTGAAATTTTTTGAGGATGTTTTTCCATTTCCCCTCGCGGATACGACTACCATTCCTCATGAAGAATTTGTTCATGAAGATTTTTCTGCAATCATTGATGAGGAAGAACCCAGCTCCCCAAACGAGCCAGACCCTCAACCTGAGCCAAGCTTTACACCCGAGCCAACGTCTCAACCTGAGTCAGACTCCATACCCGAGTTCAGCTCATAGCCTGAACAACACACTAGTAATCTTGTTCCGAATAACCAAGATCAGAATGTTGAGATGGGTCGGGGTATGAGAAATAAAGTTCCTTCAGTGTGGATGCGCAACTATGTTATTAATTCTACTGTTGTTAAAAGTCCATCCTCTGTCACACCGTCTCCACAGTCTCCCTCAGGTACTCCTTATCCTTTAACACATTACATTAATTGTGACAATTTTTCTCTGCCATACATAACCTTTATGGCAGCAATTCTTTCTGAAAAAGAACCAAAATCTTTTAAAGAGGCGATGACACATAGCGGCTGGAAAGAATCTATGAAAAATGAAATTCGGGCCCTTGAAGACAATCAAACTTGGACTCTTGAACATCTCCCACCTGGGAAAAAGGCTCTTGGGAGTCATTGGGTGTATCGAATCAAATATAACTCAAATGGGTCGATTGAAAGACTCAAATCATGATTAGTGGCTCTTGGTAATCATCATGAAGAAGGCATCGATTACACTGAAACTTTTGCTCCTGTTGCCAAAATGACTACTGTTCGTGCACTTCTTGCCATTGCCGCCTCTAAAAATTGGGAACTACATCAGATGGATGTGCATAATGCTTTTCTGCACGGTAATCTCGATGAAGAGGTGTATATGAAGCTTCCCCCAGGCTTTGAGGCATCCGATCCTAAATTAGTGTGTCGATTGCGCAAGTCCTTGTATGGATTAAAGCAGGCACCGAGGTGCTGGTTTGCAAAACTTGTTACGGCCTTGAAAGGGTATGGTTTCTTACAATCCTATTCAGACTACTCCTTATTCACCTTTACTCGAGGTGGAATTCAGATAAATGTACTTGTTTATGTCGATGATCTCATCATTTCTGGGAATGATTCTG